AGGTCCATTGCAAATGAATGGTTTGCAGAACACGGAACACCTATTGGCATGCGAAATGTTTACCGACGAATGAGAAGTTTTGGCTTGTTTTCATACCGGCCACACTGGGTCCTCCCTTTAACTCGAGAACACCGACGTAATCGCCTTGAGTGGTGCAGACAACGGTCACTCTGGGATCAGGAATGGAACAGTATTGTCTTTAGTGACGAGTCTCAATTTTGGTTAGGCATGCACGATGGTCGTGCCAGGGTTAGAAAGCGACGTGGTGAAAGGAGGAATCCACAGTTTTTGTTGAAAGACATGTTCATCATCCATCTTTTACCCTATCTTGACACCCTGGCCGATCCAACTTTCCAACAAGATAATGCCCGACCACATGTTGTAAGAGTCACAATAGACTTCTTTCAACATAATGTTACCATGGCCACCAAGATCTCCCGACTTATCCCCAATTGAGCACGTGTGAGATATGATGGGTAGGAGATTGCTCAATTTGCAACGTCCTCCTTAGACTCTAGAAGCACTTCGAGAGGAGTTGGTGGTTGCCTGGAATGAGATACCACAGGAGGACATTGACCACTTGATCAGAAGCATGCCTAGGCGCGTTGGAGAATGCGTAGCACATCAGGGTGCATCAACACATTATTAAAGGTCAAAGGGCTTTAAAGCAGTGCAATTATTTTGAAATTTTTATCATTTACTTATTATGCTTCATTAAGTACTTATACAAAATTTTATTAAAATAAAACCATTTAAACTGGGTGTTCGGATTTATGTCACTTAGTATATCTAAAAAAGTAATCTTTCCCTAGGTCGTCTTAGTTCATCGAATAAACAACAATAATGCCAGAACTTTTTCATTTATTTAAGGCTAGTAATATAAACATTGCTGCTTATAAGGGTATATTTCTGCCGGCTTATGAGATCATACAATATAACCTCGCTAAGACTGTTTTTGTGGAGTCCTCAGGAATAAGGTCTATCCAGTCGATTAAAGATGTGAAGCAAGACATTCCTCAAGTTATTGATGGAATTGATCAAAAGTTTACTGAAAACTTTGCTGAGGAATGGGCACCTGAAGAAACAGCCAGGGGTTATTTGAAAAATATTATTTATGAAGCGTTACCCCCAAAATCGTTGGTTTTATTTGAAAACAAGTAGATACCTATTGGAACACCATTTACAACAATTCTCGGGCTATTACACCAGTATGTGCCATCCCTCCATTATCCGGTACCAGACGTTATACCATTCCCCTCACCCTTAAAACGGGGGATGTGTGCGGTTTTCATTTCAATAGCTGCAATCGGAGACAAATTATGCTGGCCTGGGCATGAAACCAACAGCATGGATTCACCGCCAACCCTGATGGATGGCTTCCAGGCCAGTGAGCACTGTGTCTCGCTTGTGTCAGCTATCCAAAATCCCGGCTGCTAGCATTTCGGGTTGGTACAATTGAGACACAATCTGGGCGATAAACTGTGTAACCAGTGCACCGAATACAGTGTGACCAAATTGATTAATTTCAACGAAAAAGTGAACATAATTTTCACTAGATTGACTTCAAAGAAAAACTGAACATAATTTTCACTAAAAGGTTACAAGGTGTATGTTCTATTAAAAAGTAATTTTATTCGATAGCACTATTCCGAGACAAAAAAATATCGCATGAAAAATTTTATATTACGACTATAAATTTGAGATAAAAAGGATATGGTACGAAAAATTGTATATTAGACTTAATAAATTTTGTATAAAACGTTTCTTTTTAAACAGATATAAAAAAGTAGGAGCACTCTATTTAATGTTAACGTTAACACACCATTTTGCTAATAATAATAATAATAATAATAATAATAATAATAATGGTTTATTGGTGTTAATACACAGAAGGTGCTTACACATGTCAATATAATAGGAGCTTAGTTACAAGAAGAAAATAAATGACAAACCATACATACACTTGTTAGAAATACTTGAGTAATGTTCAGACCTGATTCAGGGACTCAAACCTGTATCAATTCGGTCAGTTATTGCCCTTTAAAATCATATGGTGGTTCAAGTCCTAAAAAGTAGAGATGATATTGTCAAAAACGCTTTGTCTTATTTTATTCCTACCAGACTTGGCGTTGACGCATTCGTCAGAATTATGTGTCACTTGTCGATACGAAGACACTTGAAATATTATTAGATAATCAGCTGTTACTATACCGTAATGGATTAAAGTGAAAAAGAAAGTATAATATATATACTTTCTTTTTCACTATAATCCATATACAGGGTTATCCAAATTAAGTGTCCACCATTAGTAACTTTGTTATTAGTGAAAATACAAAGTTGTTTGAATTAGCAAACTAGTAGCATTTTTAACGCTGGTAAAAATGAGAAATAAAAAAAAACAATTGAGAGTCGTTATTTTGATTTTTTTCAGAAAATAACATTTTTTTAAATGGAAACTCCTGTATATTATATTTTTTTCTGTTAAAGCATCAAATTTTAAACAAAAAAGCTTACAATAACTTTTCTCCTAGGTTACAAATTGTTGAAGTTATGGCCTCCAATCTGAAACAATTAAATTGTATCGACAAACTTTATTTTCAACATCAACTTATAATCTTACAAAATACAATAACAATTTTTTTTAAAGAAGATGCTCGAAAACACCACCTTGTTCTTCAATACATTTTTGGGCACGTTTTTCAACTGCTCGAACTGTCTTAAGTATGGTCCTACCATCTATCTGGGTTATCTTTTCCTTAACTGCAGTCTTTAACGCGTCAAGGTTATCGTACCTTCGCTTGTAAATTTGGTTCTTTAAGTAACCCCACAAGAAATAATCAAGTGGGTTTAGATCTGGTGATCTGGGAGGCCACTGTATTGGGCCATTTGTTCCTATCCACTGATCATTAAAAGTAGTACTTAGAAAATGATAAGTACCTCTGGAGTTGTGGGCAGGTGCGCCATCTTGCTGAAAATGCAGATGATGTCTACTTATAAGATCCAGTTCGTCTAAGAAATTAGTCAGAATTTCTGACATAAATTCCACATATCTTTCACCAGTTAGGGTTCCCTCATAAAAGAACGGGCCAACAATTTTTGAACCAATTATACCGCACCAAACGTTGAAACTGAAACGGACTTGTGGGCCTCTTGGATGTACTAACAAAAGATTTTCTCTTGACCAATAATGGTGGTTTTTTCTATTAAACATTCCAGAATTTGAAAAATTTGATTCATCTGTCCATAAAAGGTAACGAAAGTTATTTACATTTTGGCGACAGAAGCTAAGATACCAATGGCAAAAAACAAGTCTTCTCTCTGGATCCCCTGCCAAAAGCGTTTGAACTGGTCGGTACTTATACGAAATAAATTTGTATTTTTTTAAAATCCTTTGAACAGTACCATAACTGAAATTAGATTCCTTGAGAATATCTGCTATTGAATTCTCACGATAAGCTTCAAAATATCCAATAACTGCAATTTCCGTGGCCTCGCTTATTATGAATTCTTTTTTTGCCCTTGTTTTAGCAAAAACATTTTCGTTGCCCCTAAATTTTCGATAAAGTGTCAGAAAATATCGTTCATACGGTTGAATGCGAGCGGGATATAATTCACTGTAGTATTCTCTTGCTCTCAAGGAGGATTTTCTGCACACTAAATAGCATTCTAACATATCACACTTTTCTTCATGGGAGAATATTTTTCTTTAAATTAATGACACAATAAAGCTTATAAACAAGTATTTACACTAATGTTTGACATTATTTGATTTTATCATTGTTTTCCAAAGCCTTCTAGTTGCGAGTATGTCCAGTTTAACAATTTGTCGCTTATCTTAATGCTGTCAAATCGCGAACGCCATGTTGTTTTCATAGCCGTCTTAATATTATAATACTGCAAATAATTAAAAATATTTATCGTTATTTTGACTTTATTTTTGACTTTAGCGGAAAAGTCATTATGAACTTTTTTGTTTAAAATTTGATGCTTTAACAGAAAAAAATATAATATACAGGGGTTTCCATTTAAAAAAATGTTATTTTACTGAAAAAAATCAAAATAACGACTCTCAATTGTTTTTTTTTATTTCTCATTTTTACCAGCGTTAAAAATGCTACTAGTTTGCTAATTTAAACAACTTTGTATTTTTACTAATAACAAAGTTACCAATGGTGGACACTTAATTTGGATAACCCTGTATATATATATATATATATATATATATAACAAAAATAGGAAAATAATTGGCAAAATCCGCAAAAAGTTGATTCGAGCAGAAAATAGGATAGGTAACCCGAGCGATACGTATTTTTGCTGGTTGGCTTCATCAGACCCGAAATGAATGCACATATGCAACTACAAAAGTAGATACACATGCCCACACATCCGGATACGGGTGTAACCTGAGGAAACGAAGATGGAGAGGAAAAAAAAGACACACGAAGTCCACAACAAGAGCCAACCTACACATTGTAGTATAAAATGGCTAGAACACCTCGAATGTTCAAGGCGACAAATAACCACAACCACGCGGCCGGTTATAGCCACTTGCTGTGGTACTTTAAGCCCAAAGGATTTATAAAGAGAAAATTATCATGTGGAGAAAGGTATATAACAAAAATAGGAAAATAATGGACAAAATCTGCAAAAAGTGGATTCGAGCAGATAATAGGATAGGTAACCCGAGCGATACGTATTTCTGCTGGTTGGCTTCATCAGGCCCGATACACATGTGTATCTACTTTTGTAGTTGCATATGTGCATTCATTTCGGGCCTGATGAAGCCAACCAGCAGAAATACGTATCGCTCGGGTTACCTATCCTATTTTCTGCTCGAATCCACTTTTTGCGGGTTTTGCCCATTATTTTCCTATTTTTGTTATATACCTTTCTCCGCATGATAATTTTCTCTTTATATATATATATATATATATATATATTTCTTCGGAACAATTTTTTTTTCTTTGCTGTACCTATCAACTAGATTTTATGTTACTTACTTCTGCAAGTCTCCTTGAACCTATTGAACAGCAGAATCTTGAATAAATCGACAAATATCCTGGCGAAGCAAACAATAGCATCTTGGCCCAAATTCGGTGTATCCTTTTTTTCGCTCAAGTACTTGGCCAGTGTCATAACGGCTTCACTGACGGCATACACTGGGTAGTAGTAGGCGTTTATGTAGATCAAACATTCGAACATCAACTCTGGGTCGGCCTTCATTTTATTGTCTATCTTTGGCCTACTGGGAGTCCAACATTCGTAGGTTGGATGCCTAGCTGAAACAGGAAATACTTTTTAAAATCATAAAATACAGGGTGTCCGCAAAGTTGGGGTTTTCCTTTCCCTTGAAATAACAAAGGTAATGTGTAATGAAACGAGGGCGACCAAGTAAAAAAAAAGTACTCACTCTCCAGTTTACGAGAAGGGCTAAGTACGTCTCTGCCCGAAATCATACCGCTCTAACAGAAAATGAAATCAGTTGATGCGCTACCAAGCAGACGCCGGCGGTGGTGCAGACCACGAACAGAGGTAACAAATATGACGGCGTTGCCGCGTTTTCAGTTTTTAGGTAAACGTACTTTATAGGTATTGTTCGAAGTGATCGCCGTTTGATTCAAAAACACAGGTGCGTGCACGACGTAGCCAAGCATCGGTGCAGGCTTTGAGAATGGAGTCCCTCCCCCGAATGAAAGCACCAGCTTGTTCAATTCTGAGACGAAGTTCGTCAACCGTATGCATTTCAGTTTTGTACACTAAGCGTTTCATTTCTCCCCAAAGAAAAAAATCACATGGTGTTAAGTCTGGAGATCGCGGAGGCCACGCTACGGGTCCATTACGTCCGATACACTTATTTGGAAATAATTCATTCAAAAACTCACGCACTTCGCGTCTAAAATGGGGCGGTGCACCATCGTGCCGAAACCACATTGATTGTCTTACACTTAATGGAACATCTTCTAACAAGTCCGGATTATTGTCATGTTGATGCAACAACCACTCACAAAACCGCACTCTTGCTGGAGAATCGTCAAGTTGAAGGGCCCCTCTTCACGCAGCGTTTGCCACACTTTAGTTTTTGGTACTTGCACTTCTCTAGCCACGTCTCTGGTGCTTGTTGTTTTTTGAAACGCAATCGATTATACGGGTTCGTTTACCTCTACACGCGTGACCGTAACCGACGGTTGAAGGTTGCATACTGACCTGACACACTGACCCCGGCCCAGTTCTGTCGTCGGGTTGAGCCAGTGACCTTGTACCACTCGGGGATGTCGCGGGTCGCGGCTACAGTACGGTATTCAGATATTTTTTAAGTTGCAGAGCCCTTTATCTCGGTTCCCTTAAGACATTGGTGTATATGGTACTAAGAAAAATTGCTTATGTTTTCAATATCTACACGTCGTGTAAAGGAAAACCCCAACTTCGCGGACACCCTGTATATGTACATATAATTTTACAGCGTATGGCTTATCAAGTTAGGCCAGTTCGTAAAATTGTAGTTTTAATTTTATCACTGTACCCACTTTGACGAATCTATCTTTTTAACTTGTCTTGACCTACATCCTATACTTTGATTCAATCTGTTTGTCTTGCCGAGTGCCCGGATAGTTTAGTTTTTATGCGCTGTAGCTAAAACTTTGAATATAAAAGATATCTCATTATACTATTTTGTGTCATTTCATGGTACAAATGAAAGAGATTCTGTTTCTACAGCGTTGTTCAAAGTAGGTGAAATTATAATAACTACCCAACTGCCTCCAGTTATTCAAGATTTTAGAAAAATGTCCCGAGAGTTCCGAATTTCATCTATAAGAACATCAGATACAGGGGAGCCTATAAAATGGCCCAATTTTATCGAAATAAAGGTTAAAAAACATAAGCCGCTAACAATATTTCACCTGCAACACGAATAGAGCTTTTTTGGATTAAAAAAACAAAATTGAATTTAACAGATATTCCCCTCGAGGTTCTGAATGCAGAGTCAAGAAGAATTACTACGGAAAAATATATACTTTCGAAGTCGCTGTATGAAAGGGATATAGACCGGTTGATCGTTTTCCAGAATACCAAAGATTCTTAGTATTTAAATCTTCTTTATGAGTAATAGATGACATACTAATTATTATTTTGTTCATCTTTAACAGATATTATTATATTATTATTATTATTTGAGTGAATATCTTTTTTGTGCTGCCATATTTACTATGATAGCGAGTTAGATAGTTTTAGATACTGCGGCACTTATTTCGCCATAATATTCACTGTTCCCCTTTTTGTAACCATTTTGTCTTGTAATCAAAAAATTTTTTTTTTAATTTCATGTTTTTATTTTTCACCACTGTAATATAACACGGACCTAATTAAGTCTTTATTCTATGAATTATGTCCCTTCAGTTTCACGGAATGACGTATCTCCCTTTTCAGGAAATTTTGAACACATAAAATGAAAAATGGGTTAATCGTTACTCATTTTCGAAAAGCTTGTAAACATAAGCAGATATACCCACAAATTCAATTGTGTAGCAATAATACCTTTTTGTCAGCAGCAACTCAAATCGCATGAAAATATTTAAGACGCTGTCGTGTAAAATTGGAAAAAATGAGATACGCCACTTCATGTTATGGACGACTATATGCCATTTACACTGATTACACTCTCGATAATACTTGAATTTTATAGTATTAATAATGATAACATACTGTATAAAAATGCATCACTCTAATTTGCAAAAAATAACTCCGCATAGTAGCCGCAGTCGCTTGGTATTTAGGCTTCTGCTTCAGTATAAAAAAATAGAATACGAGCCCCTTCCCACTTCAGTTGGCCCACTTTCAAGATTTGTACCAAAATATGCCTTTATAAACTAAACATGACGAAACTATTTACTTCTAAAACAATTTATTTTCTCAAAAAAATTTTAGATACACTCTAGTCGTAAAAAATATATATTGGAAATCACTTAGACCTATAACTAATAGAACATCTGAACAATCTGCGAATAAATGCGCGAAGTTAACAAAGCAACAATTGGAAGAATACCATTGGGTAACATCACCTTTATTTTTTATTACGGCTGAAATTCTTTCGGGCATAGTGTTAACCAAGTTTTGACAAACATTTGGTGTAAAACAATCTCATATTTCTTGAAGCTTTTGTCTCAGTTCGGTGATTGTACGAGCAGGATGTTGTCGTAGAACCTGTTTCATCGCGTGCCACAAAGTTTCAATAGGTGACAGATCTGGACTGCTAGAAACCCATTTCAAAAGTGATACATTATTTTCTTCCATCCATTTTATAGCCTTTTTTGAGGTATGGCACGCTGCACCATCTTGCTGAAATACAAAATCTTGGCCGGATGTCAAACATTCTTCCATCAATTGTAAAAGCGATTCTTCTAAAATTGCCAAATATTTGTTTGTATCCACATTTCCATCAATAAAATGAAGTTTTCCTACTCCTTTTGATGACATACTGCCCCAAACCATAATGGATGGTGGAAATTTCACTTTTCTCTTCAGACAGTCAACATGGAATGCTTCATTTTTTTTGCGAATAACTCTACTGCGACTGCCACCAACACAAACTTCGAATCGGGCTTCATCACTCCATTGTATTGCACACCATTGTTGAGGTGTCCATTGTCTATGTTCTTTAGCCCATCTAAGCCGATTTTTATTTTGCAGTGGAGTTAATAGTGGCTTTTCTTTGGGATATAAATAAGTTGTGCAACTTTAGGATTTCTAGTTCACTTTTTTTATAAGAAAACTTACCTTGCAAGTGCTAAATCCTAGTTTTTGTGCCTCCCTATGAGTTGTGGACTTCGAAATTCTCCTTCCAACAGCGTCACTCCACAGAGCACTTAATTGTAAATAATTGGCACGCCTGTTTTTCACGATTATTCTTCTTCGGTCGGCATTTGTGATACTACTTTTTTTCACATATCGTGGCTTAATATTGACTGAATCAGTTACCTTATATCTCCTACCGATTTTGAAAATCCTAACTATCCAAAACTATTTTAAACGTATTCTGACAGCTGTGATTAATAAAAACAATTGTCATGGCTTTTATTTTTCACAGCCACCTACGCGTTTTAGACTTATTTGCATTGAAATGAAAATAGGTTGATATGCTGTAATTGCAACATGCTATTTTTATGCTGCAAATTTGATTAGGAAGTGATAAAGTTGCTGTTTTCTACTATATATTATCAAAATATTCATTTTTAATATTTTAAACCTATAACACCCTGCATCATTTTTATTATTTGTGTTTGATAAGAAAAAAAACTAAGATTTCAATAGTTGGGCCAACTGAAGTGGGAAGCGGCTCCTATATTACTCGTGTTTCGGAGTTTCTCATTTCGCACTATGTTATTTTCAATTTCAATATAAAGTAGTATAGCAGAAATTGCTTCTGCGATAAATAAACTGTCTCAATCTTGTGCGCAACAGCTGTTTTTTATGAACCTTGTACAGCTTCGACGGCGACATTTCAGTGAGAGCAATAGACATCCTCGAGAAACTGAGGATCATAAAATATCATCCAGCTGGATACTTTTATTCTCTGTAATTTAATTTTGCTGCACAAAACGTCCGTTACAATAGTAAAACCGGGATTTTATGATAGCGTGTAGACAAAAATGCTATAAAATCACCGTTTCGACTGGCGCTATTGAGTTATACTCCTTTAATAAAATATAGGTGCTCATTAAAAATTATGGTAAGCAGAGCTACTGTTCCGATGCGACGGACAGCCTCAGCAAAGTGGTTGCTGTGGCCGCGACTACCTGGTTGTTAAGCCTTCATTATACGAGGGATGTCTTTTCAGTTTTGCATATGGAAATAAAACAACAAGGTAGGTAGTTTTAAATGACTTTATTGTTTTTCGAAGTATTCTCCACGAAGATTAATACAGGGTCCGGCAATGAAGTATGGTGTTTTTGAAAAAAATTACAAACTTTCATTTTTAAACACACATCAAAATTTATTATTTTAATACATTAGTGGAATGATGCCATTTAAGTAACATAAGATAGTCAGGTGCGAAAAATTACATCAGTTAGGTGGCGTCCATTCTTGTCGATGCATTCTTGGAGACGGATTGCCAAAATCATCCATACTCCTTTCTAGCATGGCACGAGGAATCCTTTCAATTTCGCGCGTTATGAGTTCTGAAAGAGCTTCAAGAGTTTGCAGTTTGTCTATGTAAACTTTGGATTTTAAATAGCCCCATAAAAAGTAGTCACAACATGAAGGGTCTGGTGACCGAGGTGGC